TGAAGCAGTGTGTGCTAGTAAGCTGGCTCCCTAAAAAAAAGTGCCCTGTTTTTAGTGTTTACTAGTTTCCATGGTGTAAATATTCCCATCAAGACTGATTTCAAGATACCAGTGTTGATGTCACTGAATGCAGAGTTGGGGTGAGAGGCACATTTCCAAGTTGGTGCAAGCTAGTTTCAGTAAAGCACTGAGTGAAGATTATTTAAAAATGTGGGTGTGAAGAAATTGGGAGACAGTTTATTCAAGTGGACTTGAAGTCATCTAGGATGATGGTGGGACGTGGGAGTGTAGAGGAAACGGTGAGATCAGTGCCAGTCTTCTTTTTTTTTTTTGTTTCCTTTTTTCTCCCCAAAGCCCCAGTAGATAGTTGTATGTCACAGTTGCCCATCCTTCTACTTGCTGTATGTGGGACACGGCCTCAGCATGGCCGGAGAAGTGGTACGCCAGTGCGCGCCTAGGATCCGAACCCGGGCCACCAGTAGCGGAGCGCGTGCACCCAACTGCTAAGCCATGGGGCCGGCCCCTTTTCTTCCTTTTTTTTTTTTTTTCCCAGTGTCAGTCTTCAATCAGTAAGGAGGAGTAAGAGGGGAGCAGAGCGCAGCAACAAGGAGCATAGGGTGAGAGCCAGATGTGGAGGCAGTGAACACCACAGTGGAGTCGTGACCATCGCCTCTAACATGCATCAGGCTAGTCCAAATTGAGTGTTTCAGGCCCTTTGCAGAGATTATTTCATTTAATCCCAAAACAACCCAGTGAGGTAGGTGTCATTATTATCCTCATTTTACAGACAAGGAACATGAACAAAAGGAGGCTAAGTAATTCTCCCAAGGTAACAAGCCAAAAGGAATTCGAACTACAGCAGTCCAGAGTTCAAACTAGTGGGCAAACTAGTGGGCAATGGTCCAGAAGCTGCACTGGGACCAGGGAAAGGGCTGCAGTGTGGGATAATGCGCAGCTTCTCCCTCTCTCCTTGGGTCTTCAGAGAAGAACCAAGTTTTAGCTAGGGCAAGGAGGTGTCAGGAATATTCTATGAGGAGGATGGGCCAGGGTTACCATCAAAGGGCTCCAAGGAGCACAGTGGAAGGTTTGGGAGGGGAGGGAACAATGAGCTCTCAGTCAGGGGGAGGGCACTTCTCAGGAGTCAGAAAATGCGAGTCTACAGCTTGTGATCGTTCTGCTCTCTGCTTCTCTTGGGCCGTGGTTACTGCTGTCAGCAACAGGCACACAGGGGGCCTGTGGTTCTTTCCAACATTGGCGGACTTGGCATTGATAATGAGTGCTTTTCCAAGTATGAAAAGCAACTTTCTCAATGAAGATGCAGGAATCTAACTATTCAAAGTTCTTATTAATAAATATTTATCGAATTGGTAAAAAGATATGAACTTTGCTGAAGACAAGCAAATCCTGATGAAAAGCAAGCACAACCGCATTATTACTGCTATTGCTGTTGGGCGCCACGTTTCTGCTCTGTAGTACTGACAACCTCTGCCCCTGACTCAGCGCTCCGCTCTTTTCCCCTGTGTTAGTGAACCGTGCTGGACGGGAACGTGGACTACAATGTCCAAGATGGCAACCAGTAGCCACGTGTGGCTGTTGAGCACTCGAAACGTAGCTAATCCGAGTTGAGATGTGCTGCGAGTATAAAATATACACCAGATTTTGAAGACTTGTTCGAAAAGGAATGTAAAATATCTCATTAATATTTTTATTTGATTACATGTTGAAATGATAACACTTTGGATATTCTGTGTTAAAATATATTATTAAAATTAATTCACCTGTTTCTTTTTACCTTTTTTAACATGCTACTAGAAAATTTAAAATTACATATGTAGCTTGCCCTTGAGGCTCACATATTTCTGTTGAGCAGCGCTGGCCTCAACCCTCCCATCTTTGAGGGCCCGCGTACTTGGGCTTAGAAAGTTTTTGACTGGGTGGTTGCTTAGTTACCTCTGGGAAGAGGACAAACTAAAAAGACCTTCTTTTCCAATTCTAGATTGTTCTATCATTGGCTTCTGGGTAGTCTATGTTCCCTAACTGCAAATGTGAAAACACACGTGTTTGCCATCCTGGGAAACCAGCCCCATGCCATCTGACTGAATTTGCTCAGGCGTCTTCTGAAGGACCTGAAGTACCTGATTCTTCCCCTCTTACATCACTGCTTATTTCATTAGGATATCAATCTTCTCAATTTGTTTCCAGACAATCTACTTCTACCACACCCTACCCTGTTTCCTTTAAAAAATGTGAACTGCTTTGCTTCCTTTTTGTGTACTGTTGTCTCTGCAATTAGCGTCTGGGTTCAGACTCTGCTCCTTCATGTAATAGCCGGCTGACCATGGGCAAGTGACTGAATCTCCCTGAGCCTCAATTTCTTCATTTTTAAAATGAGGATAATAATAGTACTCACCTCATCGTTTTGTAGCAAGGACTAAATGAATTAATACCTAGGAGGTGCTTACAACAGGGCCTGGCATATGACAAGGGCTCAATAGTGTCAGCTATTTTTATTGTCCTCTCCTCCTTACTACTTCAGCTGTCACCTGCTCAGCTCTTGCCATCTTCGCCCAAGCGTCCTCACTTTTTTTTTTTTTTGGTGAGGAAGATCAGCCCTGAGCTAACATCCATGCTAATCCTCCTCTTTTTGCTGAAGAAGAGCGGCTCTGAGCTAACATCTATTGCCAATACTCCTCCTTCCCCCCACCCCAAAGCCCCAGTAGATAGTTGTATGTCATAGTTGCACATCCTTCTAGTTGCTGTATGTGGGACGCGGCCTCAGCATGGCCGGGGAGGTGGTGCTTCGGTGCGCGCCCGGGATCCGAACCCAGGCCACCAGTAGTGGAGCGCGTGCACTTAACCGCTAAGCCATGGGCCGGCCCAGCATCCTCACTTTTGAGGAACTGTAATAAAGCAATGCCCATCTCACCCTCTGCTTTTGTGGACAGATATTAAGCTAAGTGTTGTCTTCTGATACAGAAGCTAAATGTTTTGTCTCCTGAGATGGCCAGGCCGCTCTGGGCACCGTGCTAACCATCCTGGGGAGATGGACCCTCAGACCCTAATTCAGAAGCCAGGTCTTAGATGAGACGGAGAGGGAGCTCCTGCCTCTTTGAGCTGCAGTCTTTGAGGACACAGCTGGGGCTAGTGTGGATGTGCTTGCAGGTGCTTCTCCGGAGTAGGCAAGGAAGACAGCCTCTGCTCAGGGAAGGGCCCTGGAGTGGTCAGGAGCTAGCCCTGGAGAGAAAACTGCATGAATGGGAATACCCTGTGTTTTGTAAACAACAACAAAAAAACAGTTTTATCTATGGCATGCTGTGCTCTTTTGGTTTTCATAATCCTCCAGCCTTTAATAAAAAGGTAGGGGCCAGAGGAGAAGAAAGAGCGCTATGGGGAATAGAGACGTGTTTAAGAAGAGGCAAAGGGATACCCTCACTGAACTGCAGACTGGGAAGTCTGTGTGTGTTTTGGGGGGGTGGTGCTAGTCAATTAATTAGCTTGACTGCAGGGTGATCAGGCCTGGAGCCCAAAAGTCATGCTGTAGGTTTGTTCTTTTGGTACTGTTTCTCCAAGGAATCCCCGAATGCCCTTCCTTGACACATATGCTAGCTGCAGCAGCAGCAGCAGACTTGAGTTCCCGCATTTCAGTAAGTGGTCATTTCCTTAATCCCTTGGTTTTCAGTAAGTCACCTCCCACCCTCTCTTCCCCTATCATCCTCCCTGCCCCGCCTCCCAAGCTGGGCCTGGGGTCCTCAGATATGAAGCCCTGTAGTTCAGCATTTCTCCAGAGTAATCTTTCTGTCTCCCAACCAGCTGCTGCCTAGTATCAGCTTCCTACCCCTAAGGGAAAGAAGGAAAAGTGGGGCCTCCCCGCCATCAGGAAATTCTCCCTCTCCTGCCACAGGGGGAAAGATGGAGGTTAATTATGATCAAAAGAGACACACAGAGAATTGGTGAATGGTTAGCAAATACTCACCATTTTCCAGGAAGAAGCAATTAGCTTAAATTTTGAACACTCTAAGTCAAACACTGTGCTAAGTACTTACTTAATTATCTTATCAAATCCTTGTAACAATCCTACAGGGAGGTTTTAGAAGTTCCATTCTACTGGTGAGGAAATTGAGGCTTGGAGTTGCCAAGCAACCTGTAAAAACCAAGCCACCCAGCTTTGGTAGGGTTGAGGATCAAGCCAGGGCGGTCTGACTGCCAATCTCGTAACCATTAGGCTGCCTGCTCTTATTTGCAGAATAAATGACTGAAATGAGCAATGGCTGCTGACGGTGTGGGTGGAGGAAGGACAGCTTGGAGGTGTTGGGCAATGGGAGATTCCCAGCTGTCCGGGCTGGTTGAGGTGTGGCCTCTCTGGAGGCTCTCATGACCTGGATGAGTGGCCTAGATGACCTGGGACTGTCCCTGCAGCTCTCTGTCTTGAGATCAGCCTGCACCCAAGGGGCAGGCCGCCGGGAACCAGCACCAGGTTCAGTCTTTCTCAGGTGAGAAAAAAATTCCAGCTGATAAAGCAGTGCCACATTTTGCAGCCTCATTTTGGAGAGGTGTCTCTTTATTAAGGCTCTGTAAGTCACTGCAATAGTCTTCCAGGTTTCATTTAGTAAACATTTATAGATTTTTTAATAAAAAGAATGTAACATGGGAAATCTCTGTACTTTGTGCTCATCTTTGCTGTGAACCTAAAACTGCTCTTTAAAAGTTTATTTAAAAGTATCTATAAATTATATAAATATATGAGCTTCAGAGACAGAAGCCTGGTCCACGATCTTACTTGTCCTACACTATGGAGCAAATTCAAGTTTCTTTTCCAAATTTCCCCCTAAAACCCGGCCCTTAGTTGGCGCTCAGGCAACACTTGGTGAATGAATGACGGCGGGAAAGAGTGGTTTGGAGGTGGCTGCTTAGAAAGGCAAAAGAGAAGAGAGTGGTGGCGGGGCGGACGTGGGTGTCAGGAGGCCAGGAGACGGGAGAGGGACCCGGACACCGGCGCTTACCCCAGGAAGGTGAGGAACCGCGGGTCCGTGGCCAGGTTGGCGTCGATGGTGAAGGACAGGAAGGCGGGGCTCACCAGGTGCACCGGCCGCTCGGTGGAGAAGTCCAGCTCCACGGGGTCAGCCTGCGCGGGTCCCGCCAGGGCGCGCGGGGAGAAGGGAGCGAGCGGCCCCAGCAGCAGCAGCAGGGGCGGCGGCAGCGGCAGCCCTGGCTTCAAGCGCAGCGGCATCTCGGGCTCACGTGGCTGCCCCCGCCGCGAGCGGCGGCGCGGCGACCTCGCGCGCTTCCTCCCGCCGCACCGCAGCGCCCTTTTCTCCTCTCCTCCCCGCTGTCGCTCCTCCTCACCCCTCCCACTCCTGCCTTGCATCCCTCCCACTGCTCCCTCTTCTCCCCGCCCCGCCACCCCCCTGCACTCCTCCTTCCTTGGGCGCTTAGCTTTGGTGGCGGTCATGTCCACTTACGAAATCACCCACACCCATTTGAAGGGTGCGGACATGGCCAGGATCCAAGCGCCCAGGAAGCCTAGGGAAGGAGCGCCCGCGGAGGAGCGCTGGGCGTCCCGGACCCGGCTTCCCGAAGCACAAGGTCCTGTGCGCACTGGCGGGAACATCAGCGTTTCCCTCTTCCAGGTCCCATCCGGGGGGCGCCAGGTCTTTTGACCCTCAACTAAAGCCTCCAGCTGAGCATTCGTCGCTTCCCTCCCCCCCACCCCCCATCTGTTTTATAAACACCTACTTGTCGCTTGAGCCTGCCAAAATTTGATTAACGGTGTGTCCTCTGGCCAAAGACCTGTTTCCCAGGCATGTTACTTTCGCCTGAAAAATCTGACCTGGGCATTGGCTAACCTACAGCTAGAAAGAGATCAACCTCCAAAAATTCCTTATTAACTTCTCGGGAAAACAGAACTTAGCAGGGCCTTAAAGTATTAGGTGGTCCAACATCCGAAACTCAGACAGGAAGCCTCCATACAAGTGTGGGGTAGTGACTAACCTTTGAATTTGGAGCCTTTGCCAAATTTCCCCTCTGTACGTTTATCTTTAGCTGTTGACCAAACTCTTCTCCAGTTTTCCTTTGATGCCTACATTGATATATAATTATAACAAGCACCATGCACTTAGGGCTTACCATATGCCTCATACCATAAGAGGTGCTTTATCTGTATTCTCTTATTCACAACTCTGCCAAGTGCGTATTATCCTCATTTTGCACATGAGGACCCACGCTCTGAGAAGTTATGTCCAGGTGTCAGAATTGGGATGTGAAGGCAGTTACACAACCCCGAGCAGATGGCAGCCTGTCTCAGCTGAAATGTAACTTCCTCAAAGAAGGTTTGCCTGACTCTCCAGGCAACTGAAGTCTCCCATGACACACTCTCACAGCATCCTGAACTTGCTAGAACTTACCACGATTGTTAGTATTGTGAATGTTGCTCCACACTGGCCTCTTCCGCTGGATTATAAACTCTGTGAAAGCAGAGATGGGGTTTATCTTGTCCACTGCACTCACCGAGGCTTGCGGCACCGTGATTGGCACTTCGTAGGCATCCAATAAATATTTGTTGAGTAAGCAAATGACACAAAAACTCTTAGAGTTTTCCACTTCGATTGCACCACTGATAAAACAATAAATAAAAATGGATTGTTTTGAAATTTATATCCAATTTGCATAGATCTGTCTATTCTTAAGCAACTTAAAAGTTAAATATATAGTTAGTTGAGTTACAGTTTGGAGATTTTGTGTGTATCAGTTACTATTTTGCAACCTGAATCAGGTTTATGTCCTACAATTATGCATCAGAAAAAATATTCATGTATAAAAACCAAGCCCCCAGGAGATCACAGGGAGGCAGACACCGAGGTGGAAAAGCAGAAGCCTCGGCTCTTCTCCTACCTTCGTCTTGACATCGATGCTACACCCCGCCCCGTGCCCCTGCCGTCGTGGGGCAAAAGTCACACCAGTTTCTTTGGAGTATTTGGGTGATTTGAAAAATGGATCACTGCGAGTTTTCTAAACAGTGTATCCTCGTGACACCCTGAGATGCTGGCCCGTGTGGTCTACATGTGAGTTACTAATATAGAAATTGGGAAAACACAAATGAGGAAGTGAAGAAAAGCGATTTGCACACATGATGATCTGCTGGTTGAGAGCAATGAGTTTCTGGCTCCTGGATTTAAGCTGGTTTGATCCATTGAGCCGGATAGGAGGAACATATGGCACATAGGAGAGAGGAACATGTGGTAAAATTGATAGAAATTGTCATTTCAGAGACACTTTATGGGATCTTGGGCCAGTTTTTCAACCTCCCAGAGCCTCAATGTCCTCATCTGTAAAGTGGGGGTAATAATGCATGTTGCACAGTGCTTTTTTTGAGAATTAATTGATTTAATATATATAACACATCTAGCTCCATATGGAATATGAAGTAGGTGTTCAACAGATGAATTTTTATTACGGTTATTACTTCATTTAATCTTCACAATAACTTGTAAAGTAGATTTAGACTGAGCTTCTGATTCCAAGTCCAGAGATTTTTCTACTACATCACCCAGATGTGGCGACTCACAAAGTATGTGACGATAATGATTTAGAAATAAAAATCTTCAAATGCACCAGGACAGTTCACGTGAATCATTTAATAACTATAAAGTGGTATCATTTCCACATGGCCTTTGGATTGATTTCAGTGGTGGCATTGGGCTTTTAGGGACTCACACAAGGTTTACTTGGTCAACAGCTACAAACAGTTGTAAGACAACAGGCTGATTTCAGGGTGTCTTCAGAAAATAAGAATCTTTCACTTGTCTATCTAGAAAATTAAGATTTTCCTAATGTACAGGGAAGTCTGTTAGGCATTTGGGTTCCCTCCAGGCTGTGTAAATAGTATACATACACTATGTTGTTTTGAGTTATTGGGTTAACACTTAAAGTTAAGTTTTAGTTTTAATTTTTCAGTGATCAAACTATACTTTAAAACAAGGAGAAAGTAAAAGCAAAAATGTGGTAGGGGCTGGAAAGAAGGAAGTTAATACGTTTCAAGTGCATGCTGTTCTTCAAGGTGCTTTTCCATATTCGTTTATTCATCTAGTCATTCAAATATTTACTGGGTGCCTGCCATGTGCCAAGCGATGAGCTAGGCAGCAGTAAGCAGCAAGCAGGAATGGTCCCTGCCCTCTGGAGCTTCCAGGCTTACTGGGGAGGCAGATAGTATTAAAAAAGGGGCGGGAAGGAATCATTCAAGGCTAAGAAGATGGCATGTGCAAACGTCCTGGGCTGTAGCTGGATTAGGAGAGCAAGGGGCAGCTGGGGACATAGAGACGGACATTGCAGGGCCTTGCGGTATCCTTGGAGCAATGGGAAGCTGTTGAAAAGGCTTCAAGCCTGGGATGGGGCATGTGATATGATCAGATTTATATATATATGTATTGTGTGTGTGTGTGTGTGTGTGTGTGTGTGTGTGTGTGTGAGGAAGATCAGCTCTGAGCTAACATCTGCCAATCCTCCTCTTTTTGCTGAGGAAGACTGGCCCTGGGCAAACATCCATGCCCATCTTCCTCCACTTTATATGGGATGCTGCCACAGCGTGGCCTGACAAGTGGTGCGTTGGTGCGCGCCCGGGATTCGAACCAGCGAACCCCAGGCCGCCACAGCGGAGCGCGTGCACTTAACCACTTGCGCCACCAGGCTGGCTCTTAGATTTATATTTTTAAAGGGCAAACTGTAGATGTTCTGTTTCCTCTCTTGTGTAGATGTCTGTTTATGGAACATGGATATGCATTTATCTATAGATATGGACAGGGTTTCTAATTTTCTTCTATTAAGCTTATTTCTAGATATATGCTATAAATATGTATTTCTCTCTGTGTCTATAGGAAAGTGGGTACTTGGAGCCAGTAAGTGAGCCAGAGGGTGTCACAGAAAGCAGGAAGTGTCCCTGGAATAAGGCCTCACAAGTCCCAGCAGTCACACACAATAATCATATAGGTTATTATGGTATAGACTGAAGGATTATTCAAAAGTCCCCAGAGGAGAGCTATCACTATCCAATTTTGGCCACCTGTCTCTGGGATGATGAAGGGCCTAAGAGACCTTGTTAATTATACTCATGCCACAAAAGCACAATAAGGTGAATTAAGTGGGATATTATTTATTGTTAGCCCCAGGCTCTGTAAACAGTGTAAACAATACAAACACGGGGCAGAGAAGGGAGAGTTCCAGAAAATGCACTGGAAATAGGGAAGTGGTTGGGCTGGAGAGATAGGGAGGAGGTGTCCTATCCTGATATTATATGTATGAGATGTATAATATTATATCTCTACTGTGTTCTTGACTTTTGGCCAGGCGTCAGGTACTATGGCCTCTCTCAAGATATAAGTGCCATGAAGTGGGGCGAAAGTATGTCCTGCTTTGTTGACTCCAGAGAAGGAGGTAATAAGGACGGTGGCCTGTGTAGGAAATAGTCCTTGTGGTAGAACCCATTTAGCGCTGGTGACTGAGGCCTTGTAATGGCTACTGTTTGAAGTGCATGTTGGAGGGGTCAATGAGCTGGGTAGTTGCTTCTACAACTTTTATGGAGTAGTTGATTCAGGCCTGATTGTGCAATTATTTGAATATTGCATTAGACTTTGTCATTATTTCATAAAATGAATAGAAATGGAAAATTCTATTGATGAGTAACGTGGGTCTCGTTAACTTACTTCATTTGCAAGTAGGTTGGAAATTGTTAGGTGTGCTGGCAGAGACAAATCTTTATCCTCAATCTGAGGCTCTTCAGATGTGAGCAGCCAAATGTGCATTCACTTCTGAAGGAAAAACCTGTATTAAAGAACCTATTAAGAAACGCTAGAAATAACCTTATTTTAATCCCAACTCAAACAAATAAACTTTATTAAAAAACGTTTATAGGGCAATCAGGGAAACATGGACTGGATATTTCATGACATTAAACAAGTTAGTGTTAAATTTTTTACAGTGGGATAATGGCATTGTGGCTATTTTTAAGAATCCTTATCTTTTAGAGACATATGCCGACGTGTTTATGGGTATACTGATATGTTTGGGATTTGCTTCAAAGTAAACTCAGCAGAAGGAGGGCAGTGGGTACGGGTATGGGTGAAACAAGATGGACCCTGAGTGAACAATTATTGAAGCCGGGCGATGGGATGCCACAGTTGCGACAGATTTTATTTTCTAAATATTTTCCATCTCACGTGTTCTTCTATAATTTTACCT